GAGCCTTACGATAAGCCCCAATGATCACAGTTGGGTGCATCTGCTGTTCAAGGAAGTGTTCGGCAACAGAGAGCATCTCTCCAGCTTAAAAAACAAAAAAACCCATCAAAATTCCCCCAGGTAAATTGGTAGAACAATCACAGACAAGACAGAACAGCATACCAGAAAAAAAGTATCTGCTATCCACACAGAGAGAGCTCTAACATCATCTATACCCGTCTTTAAACTTAACTGTGCTTATCCCAGGGAAAGAACACAACTTTCCAAAGCACAAAGCTGATCACCCAAGGGTCTCATGAACCTAGCATTCTTCTCCAGGGTAAAAAAAATAAAAGATCCATTTTAGGGTTGGCAAATAACGACTATCTGTCTCATTGAGGCATTCTCACTGGGCTCTGATGAGCAAGAAGGGCAAACTTCAGCCTTAACCCTTTATAAAATGTCTCATTTACTCTGCTTACCAAGGATAATTACAGATGTGGTGCCATCTCCAACTTCTTCATCTTGAGTACGGCTGATCTCTATCATTGATTTTGCAGCTGGATGCTGGACTTGAATCTGTGCAGGAACAAGGGGTATGGTTTTGTTCCAGACTACTAAAGCTGAAACTTCTCGCATCGCTCAATGGAACAAATACCACACCTTTTAAACAATCAAAGGCACTCTGTTCAACTGTAGCAAAGGTTTGTCTTCCTTTTTGAGACCGAAAATAAGCCCTTTTATTTACAATATCATCTCTCCCACAGTTTTTCAGGCATTATGATTTTTGTGATGTTATTTCAACAGCACTTGCACCAGAAAGACGACAATGATTTCTTGGTCTAACTCTTTGGCATTGTAAAAGCAAGCATCAACTCATAAGGCTTTGCTGCAAGTGATTATAGCTACGATTACCACAGAATTTACACCAGTCTTGTATTACCACCCTGGGCTTAAACTGACTTTTCTGAGGAGGAAGAGCATTTGCTGGAAATATTTAATTCCTCCCCAGAAAGCACCCTCCTTGGTCCTGCAGTTTACTACTTGCCGGCTCTCCAGACTGAAGACGGAATAACATCGTTCCAGTGACAGCTACGGAACCGTATCCTGCACAATTCCGACTCACACGTTAAGCCAGAGAATCCTTTGGGAGAAACTTACTTCTCTAAGAATAGCGTTGCCATCATTGGTCATCACAATCCCACCCATGGGGTCCAAAAGCATCTGCAACCAAAAGAAAAGCCATATTTTGCACTGACCTGTAACAGGGGTGCTGTTCCTAGTCAGTACGCAGCACAGGCATTTCAGCAAAATTTATTACCTTCATCATAGCTCTTGGTCCTAAACACGTTCGGATAATGTCAGCAATAGTCTAGGAGGAACGAAAGAAATGAGGTAATACAGGAGGGCATCAAAAAGTCTAAAAACACCCCCCATCTTCTATATGAAACAAGCAGCCCCTGCAAAATTTAAGCGACCCAATGACTCTGCAGTTGCTTAGATGCAGCAGAAGTTAAGAATCGTGTGGGCACGAGAACACAGGGATTATAAGAATGCTGGCACCGCGCTGAATTATTGTCTAAATCAGATGCTGAGACTTAACACACTTTCAGATTTTGCAGAGAAAGAGGCTTTGGTGGGTTAAAACCCTCCAGGTTCAGTTACATGCAACTATTATTTTAACACCGAAAATTAATTTTCTATGCTGCTTCTACTCTGGATTCATACGAACTAGAGAAAACATGCTTCAGAGCCAGTTTTCCCTCTTAAATATATAAATACATATATACACACACACATATATATACGCGCACACACACTGACATGAGAATATGGTACCTTAGCAGCAGTGATGTTTCCAGTCTGGACTTTTCTTCCAGACTCACGTTTCATATTCTGACCTAAAGCACACAGAAAAAAAACAAAAAAATTAAAGCACAAATATAATTTTGATCTGATCATTAAGAAGTCCAAGACTGAAGCAGCGATACTGACAATGCAAAGATACCCTCAGTCACAGAGACACTTGATATATGACCAGTTCTAAATTAAGAGTTTACAATATAAATACCACAGAGATTATAAGAAAGCATATTCATAGA